GCAAATATCACCTCTGGCTGGCCCCAGAGTGGGGTGGGAATGGAGATTTTGCAATATCCTTTCCCCAGGAGTGGGGAGGGAATGGAGATTTTGCAGTATCCTTTCCCTGAAGTGAGGAGGGAATGGGGATTTTGCAGTATCCTTCCCCTGGAGCGGGGTGGGAATGGGGATTTTGCAATCTCCTACCCCAGAAGTGGGGAGGGAATGTAGATTTTGCAGTATCCTTCCCCTGACGTGGGGTGGAATGGGGATTTTGCAGTATCTTTCCCCTGGAGTGGGGAGGGAATGGGGATTTTGCAGTATCTTTCCCCTGGAGTGGGGAAGGAATGGGGATTTTGCAATATCCTTCCCCCAGGAGTGGGGAGGGAATGGGATTTTGCAGTATCCTTCCCCTGCCATGCCCACCAAGCCGCACCCACCAAGCCACGCCCACAGAACCGGTAGTAAAAAAAATTGGATTTCACCATTGCTTGAAAGCCAAGTATAGAAGCACCCTCAGCTGGAAAAGCTAATGCAATCCTTGGTTGAATAAATGGAGAATCAAAATCACGTGAAGTATTAGTACCGCTTTGTAAAGCGTTAGTAGGACCACACCTGGAATACTGCATCCAGTTTTGGTCACTACCTTACAGAAAAAGATGTTGAGACTTTGGAAAAAGTGCAGAGAAGAACAACTAAGATTGTCAAGGGTCTGGAGACTAAAACATATGAACGTTTGTACGAAGTAGGTAGCCTTACTGGTCAAGGTAGAACCAGGGGTGAAATCCAGCAGGTTCTGACAGGTTCTGGAGAACCGGTAGCAGAAATTTTGAGTAGTTCAGAGAACCGGCAAATACCACCTCTGGCTGCCCCCAGAGTGGGGTGGGGATGGAGATTTTGCAGTATCCTTCCCCCAGGAGTGGGGAAGGATTGGGGATTTTGCAGTATCCTTCCCCTGGAGTGGGGTGGGAATGGAGATTTTGTAGTATCCTTTCCCTGCCACGTCCACCAAGCCACGTGCACCAAACCACACCCACAGAACCGGTAGTAAAAAATTTTGGATTTCACCACTGGGTAGAACTGGCTAGTCTAGAAAAAAAGGACTAAGGATGACATGATAGCAGTCTTCCAATATTTGAGGGGCTGCCAGAAAGAAGAGGAGAGGGTCAACCTATTCTCCAAAGCAACAGAGGGCAGGACAAGAAACAATGGATGGAAACTAATCAAGGAGAGAAGCAACCTGGAATTAAGGAGAAACTTCCTAACAGTGAGAACAATTAACCAGTGGAACAGAAGTTGCCTTCAGAAATCGTGGGCGCTCCATCACTGGAGGCTTTTAAGAAGAGACTGGACAGCCATTTGTCTGAAATAATAGGGTTTGCTGCTTGGGAAGGGGGTTGGACTAGAAAACCTCCAAGGTCCTTCCACCTCTGTTCTGATTAATTGAAAATAAACCTCATTTCCTTTCATGGGATTTATCTCAGCACATCATTTCTGCCCGTGTTGTGATTTTGCTGCATCAGAATTACAGTTCAACCTCTTCTTACTCCTTACACTTCACCAAAAGACATCAAAAATGGAGAACCAAATGAGAAATATATGTTAGAATGGAGAAGATGGATTGATTATATTCAAGGCAAATATCGGACTAAAAAATTTCAAATAGCTTATGAATGATCAAAGAGATTTTATAAAGTACTTAAATTTAGTTTAGTAAAAGGGGAGTTAAAAGTTCAAAAGGGGGATAGGAGGCTATAGATAATTAGCTTATGTTAGTTTATGATTGTCAAATGTTATACCCTGTATTTTGCTCTGGGAAGTGGGGGGGAGGGAGGGGGAAGGGGAAATGTTTGTAAAACTTTTAAAAACTTTTCAATAAAAAAAAAATGGAGAACCAAAGAAGAAGTAGAATTCTAACCAAAATCGCTCATTTCTATCAAGCAAAGCTGATTTAACGATAATATTGACAGAACCCTGTGTAGCCAGGCGTCATTCCACCAGATGCTACATCTTGAGGGACAGGGACAAGGTGCTTCAGATCACTGGACTTCTAAAGCTGAATTTAGAGAGGAAAGTCCTTTAGAACGAGGACTCTGTTCTACTCCTGGACCATCCAGACAGTTGCTTGTTTAAACACAGACAAAAAGAAAAGGGTTAGGTGTCAGGCTTGATTGATGGCAGAATGATGCATCCACATGTTTTTCTTGTGATCAAGAGTCAGACCAAAGAGAGGCTGCTCAGCGATACGGTCTACTTATGTCAGCCATTCAACTGTCTAATCCAGTGTTACGCAACCTCTACAACAGGGCTGTCAAACTCGCGGCCCATGGGCCGGATGTGTCACGCGCTGCCTACGTCTGGTTTAGCGAAGTGGGGGAAAAAGTCGCAATATGTCACGTGACGCTGCCGTGATGACGCAGATGGGTTTGACACCCCTGCTCCATAGTGTAAGAAGACAACTGGATTTCAACTCCCAGAATTCCCTAACAAGCCATGATGGCTAGAAACTCTGGGAGTTGAACATAGAATCATAGAGCTAAAAGGGAATTGAAGGTCTTCTAGTCCAGCCCCGTTCTCAAGGCAGGAGCAGTGGTGGGTTGCCCCTGATTCGGACCAGTTCTATAGAACCAGTAGTAAAACCAGCGGGAGGCTCTGCCCACCGACCCCGACATCATCAGGAAGGCTCCGTTGCAAACGGGTAGTAAAGGTAAATAGAACCCACCCCGGGGCAGGAGCCTTAATCATCCCACTCAAATGGTTGTCCAATCTATTTGTGAAAACCTTCAGTGATTGAGCACTCACAACCCCAAGCTGTTTCGTTGATTAATTGTTTTCACTGTCAGGAAATTTCTTCATACTAGATGGGATCTCTCTTTAACAAGCTTCCACTCATGACTTCTTGTCCTGCCCCCAGGTGCCTTAGAAAATGAGCCAATCCCCTCTTCTTTATGACAGCCCCTCAAGTATCGGAAAACAGCTTTCGTGTGTCCCCCTAATACTTTTCTTCATTAGGCTAGACATACCTACTATCCTTAGCTGTTCATTCAAATAATGAAAATTATGTCGCTTGATTGTGTGATAAAGGTGTAAGCTGTTCCAAGTCATCGCAGGATGTAAGCTGTTCGCAGGATGTAAGCTGTTCCAAGTCAGGCTGCCTTTTGCAATTGACTGGTGGCGAATTTGTCAATGCCGACAGTGTTCAAGTGGTGCTCCAGATGTTTTGAGATTGCACCCAAGGTGCTATTATTTCACTATTATTTATTTATTTATTTATTTTGTCACATTTCTATGCCACCCAACTCCCAAGGGACTCTATTGGTATTACCTTTCCTTTCTTTTGCCACAGTCTTTCTATTTCAAGGTCTTTGTGTTATTGTAATCATTATTATTATCGAGATTGCTTAAATCTCATGAGACTTCAGACTAGAACATCAAATCTTTACAATATGCAACCTAGTAAGAAGACTTCGGACCATAATTTCTTCAGTCTCATCGTGGTGAAATCCAGCTTATCCAGTGTTTCCAGGAGGTCTGCAAAAAAAATCTATATAGCAATCCATTCTCTTGGGAGAGAGAATTTCAATATTTTACCAAGAGTTCCTCCCAAAGCAGTCAAGAGGCTTTGCATTCCAAGTGACCTTTAATTTGAGAGAGCCAATCAAGTGAGATTAATATTAATTTATATTTGTGACAAAGGAATTTGCCACTGTCAAAGTGATTTCTGTCTGTCTGTCTCTCTATCCTATCTATCTATCTATCTATCTATCTATCTATCTATCTATCTATCTATCTATCTATCTAATTTATTTAAAATATTTATATAGTTGCCCATCTTCTAGCCAACAACTCTGGGCAGCCCCCAATCAACATATAAATATATCAAAATTAAAAATATAAATACATTCACCATACTTTCTTGAGAAAAGATAAAGGACAAACTGGAAAGTGGTTCATAAAGATAAATAATAATCATTGTCTATGTCGATATTTGCTTTATAAAGGAAAATTCAAGAGCAAAAAAAATACTTTACAAAAACATATAGTTTAATAAAAAATATCTAAAATCAAACGGTATATGTCAATTTATTTTGAAAAAGAATTCAATGCATTAAGTGGTACCATTTGCATGGTAAAAGTTAAATGATCAAATAGCCAAATGACCAAAATAAAGGACAAAAGTAATTTTTTGCAAAATAAATAAATCTAAAGGCAGCTTTTTGAAATCAAGGACTGTCCTTTAAATTAATGGATGTGTGATCACTGTAGATATCTAAATCAAATGAATAAATCTGATTTACTAAAAGAATGTATATGCTTATTCCACTCAGAAAGTGAGTTTCTGGCCATCATACAGTGTTTAAAAATAAACTCTGCCTGGTATCTTTTACTAAAGTTATGCTGAGAATTACTGTATATATTCACGGAGAAGCCAAGAATTTTAGGTTCCAAAATAGATCCCCAAAATTGGCTTCTGCTTATTAACTTTGCTACTGAATATAACACTCACACTCATGTACGTACACACAGATAGTATATTGCTTTGAGACTGATTTTGAAAAATCAGTCACTTCCTTCTCAAAGTCATAAAAACCAGTGAAAGTATAATGAGACATGAAGCTGGGTCTTTCAAGAACGGTTCCATCAAGCAAGATAAAAAGACTCCCAGTCATCTTTCTCACTTCAAGAACTCCAAAATGCTTTGATGTCTTCAGTTCTAAAGGAGAAACTCAGTGCTGAAACTGAATTCTTCCCAAAAGCTTGATGTTATTAAGTCTTGGACCTGTGCCCGCCCTGATTTAAGAGGGCCAAGAAAGAACCATCTTCCTTCTGAAATGGTGAGCCTTCCTCACGAAGCCTCAGGTGATGAACACGGATTATCTTCACTTGATTTCCATGTCAAAACAAAACACTCGGCTTAAAAGAAATTAGCCAAGTCCCGGCAAACACGTTGTCCCACATTCCTTCCAAGGATGTTTGCCACAAATCTTTGGAGGAGGCTGGAGCTCTTGGCGGGGTAATTAAACGTTCCTGCCACCCCAGTATTTCCTTCCTGTCACTACAACTGACACTCTTTGGTTCCATGTCGGCTGGAGGACCAGAGCATGCTCAAGTCTAGTTTAAGTATTCATCCCGGGGGTGAAGCCATCAACAAGTTGTGAGAAGAAGACAGGGATCGCCGCAATTCCCATCCACCAAGGTAAGAGATTTCTTTGACATCCTGAAATAGGAATTATGAAGGAAAACCCAAGACAACCCAAAGGTCCATCTCTCTTCTGCATCAACAGGTGATGGAATGCGTGCCAGCCAAAGTTCTTATTCAAGTTTAATTGCTCCTTGGTTTAATTGATACACTTATATTCTGTAAGCCAGGAGTTCTTGGAAAACCCCTCCAACTGCTGTTTTGAGGCTTTTGGATACCCTGGCAGTACGGACTAGCTGTGCCACCAATTAATCCCCCGCCCCACAGGTTTTAAATCATATCACAATAAGATTTTTAGCACATTCTGTTCAGAAGTAAATCCTGTACTTGCTTGGTGGGGCTTATTTTTAGCTGCTTCAGTGTAAGGTACAAGTGTTGTTTTTCTTCCTTTTTTCTTTCTTCCTTCCTTCCTTCTTTCCTTCCTTCCTTCTTTTCTTTCTTTCTTTCTTTCTTTCTTTCTTTCTTTCTTTCTTTCTTTCTCTCTCTCTCTCTTCCTTCCTTTTCTTTCTTTCTTTCTCTTCCTTCCTTCCTTCCTTCCCCCAGAACGTAAAAACATCCAGTTTTAAAAGTAACACTTGGAAAAAAGGTAAAAATAAGGAAAAGCAGAAATCCAACATTCAGCCAAATGTTTTGAATTTCTCAGAAAGATTCTCAGCTCTGGTTAGAAAGCTGAATAATTGACAAATGTCAGAACTTTTTAAATGCTCCTTGTGGTTCAGCGGGGAGAGGTTGCTGAATGGAGGGCTCCGTTCACTTCCTTCTTGCTGTGAATTAGGATCATGTAATTTATTCCGCCAGTTGTTTAATGCATTGAAGTCACTGGCTTAGTAACTGAGAATGTGGGAAGAAACAAAAACCGACAAATATAACAATAGGATTAAATTGGTACTTTTTCACTAGAACAGGAAAAAATAGTTCCATCTGATTGAGTCAAATTCTGCAACATCAATAGAAAAGGCTTCCCTCCAACCCCTTTTATAGATAAATCCTTATCTATAATTATGCACAAAACATCATAGGATGTTTATTATAAACACTTTTTCTAGAATTATAACTGAACAGCAAGATTGCAACATAAGACCTGTAGTTTGCGGTCTGGCTAAGAGCACATTTTTATGATGATGGGTGAACGACCTTCAAGTGGAAAAAGATGCTCAAATTAGGTACCTGAATACTTGCAAGATCTTCTGGTTCTCGTATCTCAGTTCAGAATATAAAATTAGGGCTCCTCTTCTGGTCTTTGTACTGTGTTTATCTGTCAGGCCCCCAAAACTAAGAAAGACATGTGGTGATTCTTCTGAGCAGATTTTTTAAATTGTTCCATGCCTTTGGCTAAAATCTTGCCAAACTGAAGCAAACTACTCCCTACACCAGCGGTTCCCAACCAGAGGTGCTCGCACCCCCAGGGGGTGCAAGATGATATTCCAGGGTGTGCAAAAACTTGGGTTTAGAAGTTTCAAAATTATAATGTGTATGTATCATTATATGCATAGGATTATTTATTTTTTTAAGGGGTGCGAGAATATATCAGAAGGAAAACTGTCTTCCAAAATAGACAAAGAATTCTAGGGGTGAGGGATATAGAAAAGGTTGGGAGCCCCTGTCCTACCCGAAGCATACACTCTGGGAACTGTTAGGGAGGGTCCGTTTTCACCCTCTTTCTCTCACACAAGCTATCCGAACTGAGTTGTCTTTTGTTCCTCTGGAAGGCTCCCTTCCCTCCTGGGGATCCAGGCCAGTTACTGTCTGTATGTTGAGCACTTCAGAAGATGACCTCAAGGACACTCAAGGAGGGCAACCAAGGAGCTTAAAATCACAAAGGTGTAAAATAGGTGAATAGATGGGGAAGAGAGTGAGACAGAGAACTCAAAGGGAAACTGTCAGGCTGGCTACAAATGAGAATCCACATTAAAAGGTGAAATTAAAAAAGAAAGAAAGAAACAGAGTAGCTGAGTTTAAAAGAGGAATTTCAGAAAAAGGGTGATGCCAAGTTATGTTTTGATTTAAAGAAAAACCTTACCTCTCCTTTAATCACAATATTCATTAGGAAGGACAGGAACAGGGACATTTGGAATTGAAATTTGAATGATAAGATTCCATCGACAATGAGAAAAAGCATCAATGTAAAAGAGCAAACAAATGATTATCACATAAATTAAATAAGATTGCTCTATTTTAATGCAGTATCTAGAGACGTTACTAAAACATTTGTAAATAAGCCAGAGAAACAAAGCTCCAGATTTACATATTATGGGCGTCATTATATTTAAATATGACTCTGCACTTATGTTATTATTCAGAAGTTTACGTGGCGCAGAATACAAAGGACTTCGTTTTATAATCTAATTACCAGAGCTGTGCAAGTCTTTAAAAATCCATTTCTGACAAAGGGAAATAGTAGCAAATGCGTTTTGGTCACTGACGTGAAGATGTGTGTGGCCTGAAGGTGATTTGATTATGTGCAATCAAGTCATTTTTGACTCCTAGAGAGACATAAATAGATTTTCTCCAAGACAATCTATCCCCAACCTTTTCTTTCAGGTTTTTTCATGGTGTATTCATTGCCATTGTTAACTGAGTCCATCCACCTTGCTGCTGATTATCCTGTTCTCTTTCCTTTCACCTTTCCCCATGGGTTTTTTTTCCCGTACTTCTGTGATGAAAGGATTTATCGGTGAAATCACCGTTGCCCAGGGGATGCCCAGTTGGGGGCTCCATTACTGTCCCTGCAAAGATTATTCATATCCATTAATCTGCTCAGAGTTGCTCATTTTCGAACTCCTGGGTTAGTTGGAGCTGGAGCATGTGATGGGAACTCATCCCTGTGGCAACAGGTCTCAAACGCAAGCCTGCCTATCTCAGCCCAGCATTCTAACCTCATGAGCCACCACATTCCAGCTACCTTTCCAGAGAGTTGCATCTTTGCATGACATAAAAGTAGAATAATTTGTGCCTTGGGTAAGAACTCTTAAGTTGATTTGCCTAATGCTTCACTTCTATGTTTTCTTTCATGGTGGTTTCAGGAGTCTTCTCCAACACCAAAAGGGTCAATATTCTTTTTATCCTAAAAGTCTGTAGAGATTCTCTGTCACCCAGGTCATGGTTGCCCCAAAGGTGCTTTTTCAGGAGACAACTGGACTTCCTTGTTTTTTCTTTGAACACGTTTCGCTTCTCATCCAAGAAGCTCCTTCAAGTGCTTCCAAGAGTTTCAACCACCCTCTAAAAGGACGCAAATGACCAGCTGTCTGCAAGGAATATAAATCCTTCCATTCCCCACCATCCTGTCAGAGCTGAAGACGCTTCTTGGATGAGAAGCGAAACGTCCTCAAAAGAAAAAACCAGAAAGTCCAGTTGCTTCCTGAAAAAGCACCTTTCCTACATCTTCAAGGTCCAACTTTCTCTTCCATAGAGTGTCACCGGAAAAAACAACAACCATGGCTTGCACTGTGGAATTCTGGCCCTTGTACACCACCACACCTCAATATCTGTCTAGGCCTCCATGGCTGCTGGACCAGGTGCTAGTCTGCAGCTTGATCTAACACTGAAGCAAAATTTCCTCCCTTCACTCAAGTCTACCAATGTTTTGGGGCTTTTAAAGTGCTAGTAGTGAAAATGAAAATATATTGCTCGTTTTATTTGAGATAGATTTTGACAAATGTAGGGTGCAAAGAAGCTTGGGGTCTCTATTTAGGGAAAACATAGCTGATCATATTTGGCAGAGTCTGTGGCAGCATCAGGGAAGAGTTGGGTCTCAATCAATCACAATAGAGCTGGAAGGGACTTTGGAAGTCTTCTAGTCCAGCCCCCTGCTCAAGAAGGAGACCCTATACAATTTGAGACAATTGGTTGTCCAATCTCTTCTTAAAAGCCTCCAGTGATGGAGCACCCACAACATCTGAAGGCAAGCACTTCCACTGGTTAATTGTTCTCCCTGTTAGGAAGTTTCTCCTTAGTTCTAGGTTGCTTCTCTCCTTAGTGAGTTTCCATCCATTGTTTCTTGTCTTATCTTCTGATGCTTTGGAAAATAAGTTGACCCCGTCTTCTTTGTGGCAGCCCCTCAAATATTGGAATACTGCTATCACGTCAACCCTAGTCCTTCTTTTCATTAAACTAGACCAGGGGTCAGCAACCTGCAGCTCTGGAGCCGCATGTGGCTCTTTCACCCCTCCTCTGCGGCTCCCAGTCACTCAAAATATCTGTCACAACTGCCAATGTGCGACACTCTCTGGCACGCGATTTATTGAGCTTTTCAACCCCCGGTAGGCCAATCAAGGATAAATCCAAAAAAGAGAGAAAAGTTTCAGAAGAAAACAGAAGGTTTAATTCAACTATATATGCTAGTTTTGTAGCTGCTCAAGAAATAGTCAGGCAAAATCATTCGATTTTGTGGCTCCCTGTGTTTTCTTTTCTGTGGGAAACGGGTCCAAATGGCTCTTTGAGTGTTTAAGGTTGCAGACCCCTGAACTAGACATATCCAATTCCTGAAACCAACCTTCATATGTTTTAGCCTCCAGCCCTCTAATCATCTTTGTTCCTCTTCTCTGAACTTTTCCCAAAGTCTCAGCATCTGTTTGTAATGTGGTGACCAAAACTGGATACAGTAGTCCAGGTGTGGCCTTACCAAGGATTTATAAAGTGATATGAACTCTGTTTAACAAGGCAAAAGACTTTATGAGGCCTGGCCTGGCAAACAAAGATCTTACAACATCCAGTTGGATTGATCTTTGTAGCTTGGTGTGGAGTAAGCTATATTCAGGCCAAAATTTAAGTGTGTTAGCTTCTTTAGTAATTTGCTAGAGATACCTCCAATGAAACTGTGTGAGAACAGGAGAGTTAAAATGCAAACTTAACCCTGTTGTTCATATTGCTTCCAACACCAGAAATGGCTAACCGATGGAAAATGAGACATTTGCCCTCTGAGTTGCTTATTTTCCTTTGTAGGAAGAGATTTATTTGTTTATCTGTCCCACTGCCTATCATATTTTTGAACTGCCCGTCTCTCTCAGATGTCTGGAATAAAGATGTCCCAGGAGAAGGAGAAAATCTCCGTTCCCATGGTGACGTTGTCCGTGCCCCAGGAACCTTACGCTCCGGGATACTCTGCTTCCTACACCCCAGAGGCCTACACATCACAGTCCTACAATCCACAGATGTATGCCCCACAAGCCTACAGCTCAGAATCACAAAGCTATAAACAATACACATCAGATCCATACGCCCCTAATGTTTCGGAGACTGAGCATTATCGCGTCACAGGTATGTGCCAAGTGCATTTCCAAAGGTGAGGTTTGGATCAAAGGAGAAAGAGAGTTCGGTTTGGGGCTTGATTCAAACCCTCTGCAATGCTTCTCTTCCTTCCTTCCTCCTCAATGCAGATGCTTGCTGCTATGATGTTTCAACTCCACCTCCGTATAGCTGTGAAGAGGTGCCTTGCGACACATTAGGACCAGGTACGCACCAGAAACTTATATACTGAAGACTGAATCATATACAGGCAGTCCTCCACCTACAACCATTCATTCAATGACCATTCAAACTTACAATGGCACTAAAGAAAGTGACTTATGACCAATCCTCATACTTATGACCGCCGCAGCATTCCCATGTTCCTGTGATCCAAATTTGGGCGCTTGGCAACTGGCATGTAATTACAGAGGTTGCAGCATCTTCTCAACCTCACGAAAAGTCATGATTTGCGACTTTTCCAGTAGACTTCAATAAGTGAAGTCAATGGGGAGAGCTGGACTCACTTAGCAATCACATGATTCGCTTAAGGACTGCAGTTATTTGCTTAACAACCATGGTGACAAAGGTTGCAAAATCAGGTCCGACACACTTAACAATGTCCTTGCTTAGCAATGGAACTTCTTGTCAGTGGTAGTCATAAATTGAGGACTACCTGTAATCTTGGGGAGGAATAAGATGCCTTAGATGTCCAAGTAGCATTCTTTGATATCTCTGTTCCCAAACACCAAGAGTTAAGGTTTCTGCTAGGTTTTGCACAAAATAGCTAACAGAATGCTGATGACACCTAGTTGTAGATCTCAACTCTTGGTGAGTTAAGTGATGCTGTTTATGTGGGGGTCTGATAAGGAACAACAGGTTTGAACTGAACTGTGATAACACTGAGTGGCTTTGGGATAGATAGATAGATAAATAGATAGATAGATAGATAGATAGATAGATGGATAATAGATATAGAGAGAGACAGGTAGGCGAGAGAGAGAGAGAGCAGATGGATAGATAGATAGATAGATAGATAGATAGATAGATAGATAATAGATATATAGAGAGACAGGTAGGCGAGAGAGAGAGAAGATGAATAAATGAATGGATGGATAATAGATATAGAGAGAGGCAGTTAGGTGAGAGAGAGAGAGAGAAGATGGATAGATAGATGGATGGGTGGATGGATGGATGGATGGATGGATAGGTAAGAGAGAGAGAGAAGATGGATGGATAGTGAGATAGATAGATAGATAGATAGATAGATAGATAGATAGATAGATAGATAGATAGATAGATAGAATGGATGGATGGACAGAGATAGAGATACAGATTGGCAGAGGGATAGTCCAGAATGCTGGAAATACAAGAGGCCTCATTTATGGCCATTTGTAGATAGACAAAATGGGTTGCCAGTATTCACATCTATGTTTATGATGCAATTATGGCTTATTCTGGACACCTAAGCTCTCACACTAGACTGATGCCTGGGGAGAAAAAAAATATCCATGTTTCCCTGAATTTCCTGCTTAAGGTTCTTAAGAAGATTCTTCTCAAGGATCTAAAGCTGGAAGGCAGAGGACCCAAGGGGGAGGATTGAAATCCTGACCATGGACCAGGAAGAGTCTCATGCAATTATTAGCGATAGGAGTGTAGCAAATGACTGGGCACCCATTTAATTACAAGGACACGTATGAGACAAAGTTGAGCCTTTTATTGGTGTTCCAAGAAACTCCTAGACTGAACTCCTTCAAGGTGTTTCTATTTTAAGAGTGCTGGCAGAGTCTCTGGGAGGCCCAGAAGCATTTGCGTAAATAGAAGTGATGCATCACACTTGCTCTTTTTAATCAAAAGCCTTTTATGAAAGTATTTAAGGGCAGATATAGATGTGCTGGCTGAGGAATTCTGGGAGTTGAAGTCCACAAGTCGTAAAGTTGCTGAGGTTGGAGACCCCTGGTTTAAATTGGCCGACTAAGATAAAAGTTGGGGAAAGGGATGGAGAAAAAGCTTCTTCCCAGATCTTTTCACAAAGACATCTTTCCCAGGAAAAAAAAAGAAGCTTTCAACCTCATTCCCGGGAGAATCTTTCAAAGCTTTTTGCTTGTTTTTGATTCCTCCTGGAGTTTGCTGAGCTGTCTCGATTTATGGGCTGGTCGCAGTGGTGTTATTCAACCAGTTTGCATCGGTTCAGAAGAACTGTTTGTTAACTTTGTGGAGTTCTGCAAACCGGCTGAATAGTCAAGGCTGCCTGCTCACCTGCCTAACGATTCCAGTAGCTTAGACTTATGTACCGCTTCACAGGGCTTCACAGCCCTCTCTAAGCAGTTTACAGAGTCAGCCTCTTGCCCCCAACAATCTGGCTCCTCATTTTACCCACCTCGGAAGGATGGAAGGCTGAGTCAACTTTGAGCCTGGTGAGATTCGATCTGCCAAACTGCAGGGAAATGGCTATCAAGAAGAGATTTCTGCCCACACTTAAAAGCTCTGGATGTAAGAAATGAAATGCATATTGATGACTCTCCCACTCTCTGCCCCATAGTCTGCATGGACTCATCCCCACCTGTTGTGGTGGCCGGGATCTTCTCCAGTAAACCTGCGTCCACCATCTGCCCCTGTTGCCGACAGATCATCACCACCGAGGTGGTCTTCCGTGTGGGGTGCCTAACCTATGCCGTCTCGACCTGCCTGTGTTTGGTGGGGTGAGTGTCCATGCTTTGTGACTTTATATTTTTAATAGATTAACAGAGTTGGAAGGGATCTTGTAAGTCATCTAGTCCAGCCCCACCGCCCAATTTGTCCTCCTACACATTCATGGAGTTCATTAGTAGGTCAGAGTAGACAAACTCAGACCCAACATTTTCTCCCCCATTGAGTTGGAGGGCTGGAGGGCCAAAAAACTCAAAATGACATCCACACCCATGCACCCTCAGTCCCACTCTTTTTCACATCTATCATGCTGGCTGCCCCCTTGATTTTTTTTTAAATCCCCTCCAGCCTTGAGAAACGACTTCAGGGATAAAATGGAGGCCTCAGGCCAGAGACGGGAACATTATGGGAGCTGAGTGTTATCCTGAAGTTCCTTTGGGAGGAGCCAAGGGATGCCACAGGTGGGGGCTGGTGCAGTGGGATAGACTTGGGGCTTTCTTTTGGCTTTTGGGGGGTTTGTGGGGCCTCATTGCAGGTAATGAGGCCCCACAAGGAGTGCAAATAGAAAAACAACAGTGCGCCATTTTGAGGCAAGCTCCACCCCTTTGGAACCTGCACTGTGATATTTGCATGCAGGTACTTAAGGGGGCGGAGCTGTTTTGGTCCTATTATAGACACTACTATTACAGACACTGGAGATGTCTTTGGCCCCACTTTAGTCCTCCTGGCTCAGTGTTTCTCCGCCTCAGCCACTCAGTTCACATGTCTTAAAGTTGACTGGGGAATTCTGGGAGGTTGAGAAACACTTTTTGCTTTTGTGTAACCTTACGAAGACTCCTGCTGTAAGAAGCTTACTATCTATAGCAGTGTTCCTCAACCTTGGCAACATTAAGATAGGGGGACTCCAACACCCAGAATTCTGGGAGTAGACGTCCACCTGTCTTAACATTTTCATTTCAAATGTTCCTATCTTAACCTTTACTGGCCTATAAGAGATAAAGCTGACAAAACGGGTAGTTCTTCAAGAGGACATATTTTGACATATTTTTACAATAAAATCTCAGACTGCCTTCTCCAACTAGGACTGGGACTGCAGTCAAAGACTGGAAACTTGGAATCCGAGGATCCATTGAGCTGCAGTAGGCTGTCTAAGGTCTAGAGCAAGGCCTTCCAAACTTGGCTACTTTAAGACTTATGGACTTCAACTCCCAAAATTCCATAGTCAACATGGCCGGCTGAGGAATTCTGGGAGTTGAAGTTCACAAGAAAGTTGCCAAGTTTGGAGACCCCTGGTCTAGAGTTGCTGGGGTTGGTTGATGGCCAATAATTCTGTATTATTAGTTTGACATTTTTTGGGGTATTTTCCAACTCTCATATTGCTGGATCATTAGGAATTGCCTGAGCCAGAATGGATAATTTATTTATTTATTTATTTATTTATTAGATTTTTATACCGCCCCCTCTCCCGAAGGACTCGGGGCGGTGAACAGCCAAAGTTAAAAACATACAATACAAACAATTAAAAATACGTTTAAAACAGAATTAAATCTAAAATGGCTCCCCAATTTAAAATGCCTTACCCATACCCCTATAAAAAGACGAATTTAAAATTTAAAAATTTAAAATTTCCACATTTAAAAAGGGGGAAGATTTAGGCCAGGCCAGCTTGATAAAATAGAAAGGTCTTAAGCGCGCGGCGGAAGGTGCGCAGATCCGGGATCCTACGTATCTCTGGGGGGAGCTCGTTCCAAATCGTAGGTGCCCCCACAGAGAAGGCTCTCCCCCTAGGGGCCGACAGCCGACATTGTTTGGCCGACGGCACCCGGAGGAGCCCCTCTCTATGGGAGCGTACTGGCCGGTGGGAGGCTATTGGTGGTAGCAGGCGGTCCCGTAAATAACCAGGTCCTAAGCCATGGAGCGCTTTGAAGGTGATAACCAGAACCTTGAAGCGCACTCGGAAGACCACCGGGAGCCAGTGCAGCTCGCGCAGGAGAAGTGTCACATGGGAACTCCATGTCGCTCCCATCACTACCCGCGCGGCCGCACTCTGCGCCAGTTGGAGCCTCCGAGTGGTTGGTCTATGCAGTTTTGAAATGGATTTCTTGATGTAATTTCTTGGCATAACATCAAGCCATAAGAAAACCCTTTTCAAGTCATGGTCTGTCTTTTTATTTTCTTATGTGGCTCTCAGGTGCTGCTTGGGCTGCTGTCTCATCCCCTTCATGTCCAAATGCTGTAAGGACGTCGATCATTATTGTCCCTGTTGCCGATATCACATCTACCGGTATAAAAGGATCTAGCTGCTTAGAAGAACAGCCCACCCAGCTGTCTTCTTGGAAATCAAAGGGGAGCAAAGGTGTTTCCAACTTGGATGGATTCACACATTTGGAACTGGATTGCACTATGCAGGATGGGCTCCCTAGTCTGTGGTGAAACCGGCTGGGCTCCGGTCAATATTGGCCTCCTTCAGCCTCCTAAGCAGGGAAGCGGCTTGCAGCCGGTCAAGGATCTGCTCTAGGATTTTCTGTATTACTTTCCTGGTATTTTGAGGTTTGTGAATTAACTCTTGTTTTGGTTTTTCTTTTGTGAATCTTTTGGTACGTTTCCTTCTCAAGGCTGCTCAAATCCATCTGTGCTTCAGTCACCACATATCTCCTCTGAGGACCATGTCAACAATGCACCATTTTATGTCCTACCAAGCATCAATGCACCATTTTTCTCCTACCACACTTTTACATGCTTTTTACTTCATGCTGGACTGAGAAATTCTTTGTTTTCCTCCTAACCCAACTTTCACTTGGTTGGATAAAAGGAAACTTCTAAGAAATCTCTCCATTCCTTGGCCTGAAGGAGTCCCCAAACAGTGAAGATGGAGTCCAAGGCCAGGATATCAGAGCCCCGCCCATTTTAATATGCATTTAAAAAGAGGGCGGGGCTTTGGTTGCATGGTGATGGTTGCCATCTTGACTTTTTGGGACTGTCTCCATGTAGACTATCCTGCCTGCCCCTATATTTGATAAGAATTTGGAAAAACTGTTTGTTCCAGCTCGTTTGGGGGGATTAAGTGTTAAGATTTTGATTCTTTATGTGGACAGGGTAATGACAAAGCTTTCTCATTAGATGGGAGAGCAGGACTTGTTCCTTGGATGATGCTCTATTCTGTTGCACTGGTTAAAGAAATGGTTCCTGTGTTGTTCCTGTTGTATTTTCTTTGGTAAGGAAGATGGCGAACACTGGCAGCTGAAGATGGGAGGGAGAAAAAGAGCAAAGGAGGAGAGAGAATACTATCAGCAGCTGGTGGTCCTTGGTCCCTATTTCTCAACTTCATCATCTTAAGACGTATGGACTTCAGAATTCAATATGCTGGCTGGGGAATTCTGGAAGTCGAAATCAACACTACTTAAAGTTGGTTGGGGAATTCTGGGACTTGAAGTCCATATATCTTAAAATTGGCTAGGGAATTCTGGAAGCTGAAGTCCGCACAACTTAAAACTTGGTTGGGGAATTCTGGGGGTCTAAGTCCACACATCCTAAAATTGGCCAGGAAATTCTGGAAGTCAAAATTGACAGAACTCAAAAGTTGGCTGTGGAATTCTGGAAGTTGAAGTTCATACATCTTAAAGTTGCCAAGACTAGGAAACACTACTCTAGTGACAAAATAATTAAAGAAACAGTCCTCTGAACCAGATTTTGAAGAAGACGTGACCATGCCCGACTTGTTTCTCAACTCAGGTGAGATCTCATATGTATTTAAGGATCTCCGTTTTCAAACGCACCATAGAATTTGAAATCATTACATGTAGAAGGATAGCAACCCAGAGTCTCTGCCATCACCCTCATTGGTTGAATGGCCCATCATGCTCTCATGGCCTCCAAGAGAGTCCTGGCCTGGACCTTTTCTCCACCTAAGTAAAATCAGGGACTTAAACACATCACCACTTGAACTGGTATATGTGGAGTAACCATTTGTTGTTTTGATTTCCCCCAAAATTGTTTTTAAATATTGCACGAAGGATATTTTTAATGATTTTCATTTGGTTAATTTTGTTTAGTTGAGTTGAACCACAATTTACTGATTACATCGCAAAGGATTGGCTGTGCAGTACACAGTGAGCCATCAGCCACTTACAAGCCACTCTGGTTTGACGTATCTTTTTCAGAGCTAAACTTGAAAGGCCGTGCAATCCCATGAATCAAAACAAGTGAGTCAAAGCTCGAAGTCCAGATTGAAAGAACGATTACAAATGTTATTGTACAGGAAGGTTAGGCAAGAGAGATGGAAATGCTGAGTCAACGTCCACGTAATTCAGAGTTTATATTTCAAAGTCCTTTAGCCGGTTTTAAAGTTCTGAGTTTAGCAATTCACCAGTGAGCTGGAGCTAAAAATAGATCAAAGCTTGCTGTAAATTGATGTCTTAGTACAAGCAAGGAGCAGCTGAAGAAAAGGTTTTCCTGCCCCTACCAAGGTGGCCATATAAATTGAATAAATAATTTTAAAAGGCATGTTAAGTAGGAGGTATAAAATCCCATCTCATCCTATGGGGACCTGTCCTTCCTCAATCTTGGGTTCTCTACCAGAAGCCTGGGAATTTGAGGGTTCTGCAGAACATCTTAGCTGTTCCTAGAACTGCACTCTTTTGGACAGAGAGCTCCAATGTTCTTCCTGGGATCTGTTGGAGTCACATTCCTATTTAGGAATAACAACTCTTGAGTGCTCCTACCATCCCTGGGAACGCTTCGGCCCACACTTCCCACATCCTCTCTAGTACCTTCTTCAGGCCCTGGTCCTTCTCCCGCTTCTCCTACTCCTCCTTCCTGAGGTTGCTGTCACTTGGCATTGCTATGGCTTATCACCGACGTTGTCTTCTGTCCTTGTCTACTACCACAATGTCTGGTTGATTGGCTGGTACCTACCTGTACAACTGGATCTAGAAGTCCCACAAGATCTTAGGCCTATATTTGTTATGATCTTCTGTGAAATCTCCCATCTGACCTTGGGAGGGTCTAGTAGTGGGTTTCACTTACCTTTGCGTCCATGATGACATCTGGGCGGGTGGGCGGAGCCTCCTGCCACTGCTACCGGTTTGCCTGAACCAGGGCGAACCGGTAGAAGACCAGAAGCCACTGGTCTAGCTCATACATTGTGCAGATGTTCCTGTACACAGTTCCAACTACGTACTTGGTTGTGCCATTCAGAGTATACTGATTTTTCCTGCATCCTACACTCTACCACTATATGTTGGAATCTCTCTGGGGCCTCCTGCCCAGTCTGCCCCTCAAGTGCGGTCTAGTATGGTAGTAGGGTCTTTTATTTCTATGGATTGTAGTCCTTGTTCTTGGCCTGCTGGCTGTAAAATTCTGGAAGTTGATGTCCACACATCTTAAAGTTGTCAATATTGGGAAAGGCCGATCTAGAGTTTAACAGAATTGTTTGCTGGGAACCTCATCCTCTCATGAGAACTAGTCCTGGTTCTCACTTGACCCCTGTGAGAGATTGGGAGGAGGTTGAGAAAGAAAGCAGAGGAACTCCAATGATCAGGTAAGAAAGGAGTTTCTCAGTAGTTTCTAAAATAAAAGGTAGATTAGCCATGGCTCCAAAAGGTAGGTCAGAGGGAGGATTCAGAAGGCTACAATTTAATAGAAGTGGAACATCCATAATTAATCGGACTGCTTGGCACAGTGGTTAAATTAATGGGATTTAAATGTGGTTAAAGTGCAGTATTTCAGGCAAACTCTGCCCACAGCCTGGAGTTTGATGCTGACGGAGCTCAAGGTTGACTCGGCCTTTCATCCTTCTCAGGTTGGTAAAATGAGGACCCAGATTGTTAGGGGCAATAGGCAAATAATGCTTCAACACTGTAAACCACCCAGAGAGTGCTGTAAAGCACTGTGGGGTGGTATAGAAGTCTAAATGCTATTGCTTTTGCTACTGTGTCAGATACAAATAACCAGGAGCATTCATTGAATTCAAAGCACAGAAGAGTTTATTACTGATATCTGTACACAAGAATCTGAACAGCCAAAGCTAACATGGCTCTAGATAAGGGTCAATGGAATTCATGGGGGGCTGGAGACTTAAGAGGTCTCTTGTGGGAGCGCACAATGATTCCAAACTGATGACATGTTTAACTCCACCCTCTGCCTCAGCCTGCTCTTCTACAGCTTGGGGTTCAAAATACAATACAGCTACTCCTCACTTTATGTCCATTCGTTCAGTGATGCTTCAAAGTCACAGTGGTGATGAATGAGGGGAGCTTATGATGGGTCCCAGTAGTTGTCACCACTGCAGCACCCCACAGTCCTGTGATTGCAGATTGGGTGCTTGCCAACTGGTTTGCAATTGTAATGCCAGAGTGCCTTGCAATCACGATTGTGGTTTGCGATGTTTCCTGCTGATTTGCTACAAGCAGTCCACAGGTGACAATACTTCCCAGGTAGACCAGACAGGAAACACAACCACATAGATTAATTCTGCTTTACTGTTAAGACTACATTTTTTTTAAAAAAAGATTTATATGCCGCCCTTCTCTGGAGACTCAGGGCGGCTTACAGTCTGCTAAGCAATAGCCTTCATACTTTTGTATATTTATACAAAGTCAGCTTATTGCCCCCACAAACTGGGTCCTCAATTTACCTACCTTAGAAAGGATGGAAGACTGAGTCAACCTTGAGCCTGGCGAGATTCGATCTTACTTTAATTGCAGACAGCTGGTGTTAAATTACAGTGCTCTGTCTGTTGAGCTATCCAGGCTCCTACATTAACAGATTCTTGCAAGTTTGAAAGTAAACATTTCCCACCCTCTCATTTATAGCCAGAGAAGTTAAGGAGGATCCTTTCTGAGCCATTTTCTTCCCCCATTGTGAAGCTGTGAGCTATGTTGTCCTTTATTTGACTTCTCTTAGGCAGCATCTCTTCTTCTTAGCAATAGCAATTACTTATATGCCACTTTAAAGTGCTTTACAGCCCTCTCTAAGCGATTTACAGAGTCAGCATATTGCCCCCAACAATTTGGGTCCTCATTTTACTCATCTTGGAAGGATGGAAGGCTGAGTCAACCTTGAGCCAACTGGTGAGATTTGAACTGCCAAATTGCAGGCAGCTGGCAGTCAGCAGAAGTAGCCTGCAGTACTACACTCTCACGACCGTGCCACCACAGCTCATTTTCTTAGGCAAGAAAAACCAAAAGTACACATATGGACCAGGTGAAACCAGGCTTAATAGCAGTAACTGTGAGAGGGATCTTGGAGCTTAGTGGACAACCAGTTAAATATGAGTCAGTGGTGTGCGGCGGCAGCCAAAAAAGCCAACACAATCCTAAATTGCATTAACAGAGGGATACAATCACGATCAAGGGAGGAACTAATACCACTCTATAAAGCCTTAGAAAGACCACACCTGGAATACTGCATCCAGTTTTGGTCACCACACTATAAAAAAGATGTTGAAACTCTAGAAAGAGTGCAGAGAAGAGCAACCAGGATGATGAGAGGACTGGAGGCTAAAACATACGAAGAATGGTTGCAGGAACCGAGCATGGCTAGTCTGGTGAAGAGAAGGACCAGGGGAGACAGGATAGCAGTCTTCCAATATTTGAGGGGCTGTCACAGAGAGGAGGGGGTCAAGCTATTTTCCAAACCACCCGAAGGCCAGACAAGGAACAATGGATGGAAACTGATCAAGGAGAGATTCAACCTAGAAACAAGGAGAAATTTTCTGACAGTGAGAACAATCAACCGATGGAACAGAAGTTGCCCTTGGAAGTTGTGGGAGCTTCATCACTGGAAGCTTTCAAGAAGAGACTGGACTGCCATCTGTCAGAAATAGTGTAGGGTCTCCTGCTTGGGCAGGGGGTTGGACTAGATGACCTACAAGGTCCCTTCCAAGTCTTGTTAATCTGTTAATCAGTGGCACTTTGGAGATGGGAATTGCAAGAAAGAGTGGTCAGGTCTGGCCTCCTGGAAGAGGCTGCTACCTACTCGCAGGGCTGACTCCGTCTTCTTCGGCTCTGCAGTGTTTACATGGGAGATACACTTTCTACAGATAGGTCAATATGAGCTCAACCTGACGCCCACATCGTGGCAGGATATGTTTGAAATGCCACGGGTGGGGTTACCGAAGTGCCAAGAGTCTTTAATTAGCATGAGGTTCTGGAAAGGGATATTTCCAACTCCACCCTCCATTGTGTGCTATGT